GCGGGTAAAATCGGGACGACCTGGAGATGGTCCTTGGGCGGCCGGTGCCCCGCGGACGGCTCCCAGGCAAGCTGGCAGGCAGGGAGCCCGGGCGTCGTCCTCGCCTCGCCCGCCGCAGGGAAGCGAGGCTTTCCTCCTCCCCTCCTCGTGGGAACTGCGTCGCAAGGCCGAGGGGGCTTCGGGAAGTAATACTTGGGTTGCCGCCGCCTTGCTTTGGGATTTTCGGTCAGGGCCTCTAAGATGCAGCCCGGGTTGCAAAAGTGTCGCCTTTGACTCTGACATAACAGGGAGTGAAATAAAAGAAGAAACGATTTTAAAATGTAAAGAACCAGGAAAGGACTGCCTTAGTTAAGGTGTCCACACACCCCCCCTTCCTGCTTGGTGTAGTATTTTATTAAGCCTTGTGTGAGAGATGTAGATTGGCCATGTCAAGTAACCTTAATAAGGCTTGTGTGCCAATTTTTTAACTTATATGAAACTTTTTTTCAAACACACTTAATACTGTTTGTGAAAATGCCCTCAGGTGTGGATTTTTATTTATTCCTGAATGTCTTTTTAGTCTTTTTAAAATAATTGGCTCTGTTAGAATTGGTTGTTCTGCAATTATTGCTTTAAGAGAGCATATTTTATAAACTGAGTGTTGGGTCCTGACCTAAAGATGTCCATTTGTTTTCCAGATGTTTTCGCCACCTGTTAATAGTGGGAAAACAAGGCCAACCACTCTAGGAAGCAGCCAGTTCAGTGGATCAGGTAAGAAGTGAGTGGAAAATGAAGACGTTCTACTAATAACGCTGTAGTCCTGTATGTAGCATCTTCCACAGATATGGAAGCTTACATGGATGAGGTATGCAAAATGAAATGCACAAATGTGTTTTGGGATTGCTTTTCGCATGAGAACCTTCTACAGGAATTGCTAGTTAGGGGCCGAAGTAGCGTTACTGCTGAATGGGTTTGAAGGTCTGTTCTGCGGAAGGCAGTGATTTTATGAAACAGCACAGGTACTTTTTGAAAATATGGGTGTTCAGTATTAGGAATCAATGTAGATGAAAGTAGTAATTTAAAGTAAATGAGAAATACTGTCTTTTCTGTGAATAGCTATTGTTGGATTTTAGTTTGTCCAGTAAAGAGGGGTAAAGGAAGTCACATAAGAATAGAAGAAATAACAGAACAATGGAAATACAATGTTTCTAGAGTTTATCTGATGTAATAGAATGCAAAGAATAGAAGCAAAGGGGTGTGAACCACATGTCTTTTTGATGAAACAAATGTGTTTTATCACATAAGTATTCAAACAGTAGAACCTCTTGGAGTTTCATAGCATAGGCTAGGAAGGAAATTTAAATCTGCAAGGGTAACATTTGAGGAAAATTATACATGCTTTTTATGATGTGGCTGGAGTTCATTCTTTCATGGCTCCTTAGAAACACTGCAGGTTGCACTGGCAAGAGCCTTAAACAGTCGTATATCACCATTCTGTACTGCTGTCTGAGAATCTCTTGCTTAAAATCTCATTTCAAATATTCTCCCCCTTTCGCTGTCATTTTGTGTCATCATTTGTTACTGTTATTAGTTTACAGCATTGGTTCATAAGGAAGAACTTTTTTTTTCTTAAGATGCCGTAGAATCATGTGATATGATGGCAAATTGGCCATTATAGGAGAGATCATTCTCTTGTCATCTGTAGATCAGGCAAATACATGATTCTATATTGTTTCTAAACTGGGATAAACTACTTCCTTGGGAAATCAAGCTCTCATCAAATAAAAACCATGTGCAATGCAGGAATATGACTATTTTTTAAAGCAGAGGTCCTCTTAAAGTCTCAGCGATGCTTATGGAAAGGACACATGGTGGCACTATCTATATTGCTTTTTAGGCTATGAAGAGGAAAAGATTTTACTATTCAACCTCCTTGGTGCCTAAGCATCACTGAGTGGTTGGAAGTGCCTGCAGGCTTCCATGTCCTTCCTTCTTTCATGCGGGCATTGATTTTCCCACTTTTAGTTTTGGAGCAAATTTGTGGTTAGTTTTATTTCTGCGCAGATAACGAATATTCACTGTGGTACCAAGTTGTGCTTTGTGAGCTTTCTTTTAACCATGGTTATCACCAATATTGGCATGTTTATAATGCTTACTGTTATTGGCTGTGAAACAGAAAAGCAGGAGAAATGCTTGTTTGGCAGCAGAAGTGAGTGGGAGAAGAAAAACAGGAGCCTGCGGGTGGGCCAGAAATGTCACTGCATTTTACGTTTCCTGTGTAGCTCAGTAGATAGTTAACGGTAGACCCTGTTTAACAGCTTGTGGAAAAACGAGTGAGCCTGCAAACCAACAAGTCCTGTTAGGTACATCCCATGAATGCATATGCTTACATTATTTTCTAGAAAACAGCAGCAGTTCCTTGTGTTGTGTCTCAGCAGTTGGACTCCTGCTGGCAGCTGACACAAGCATCTGTGAAACAGTGCTAGTCATGGTGGCAAATTGCTGCTAATAAACGAAGTGCTGATTATGGGCCTGATCATGTGATAGGCATACAAACAGCAACCTCATTGAATCTGTAATTTGCTGCTACAATTTAGGTGATTTCTCCTACACACGCATACATTGCCAGTGGAATTCCAGACTGTCTCTATAAGTATTGGGAAGACACACTGGCAGTTCCCTGCTTGCAAGGTGTTGGATCGGAATCTTAGTGTGTTTTTCACTTTTATATTCTGTTTGTACAACATGTTAGATGAACTTACATTTTTTTTCATCTCAACAGCCTGTAGTGCAGGGGTGGACAATTAATTTCTATAGGGGGGGCCACATGAAAAATCTGAACTGTGTTCGGGGGCCGAACCAACTTTACTTAAAAATAAAATGAAACAGTGATGTTATGATTGTTTTTATTTTAAACTTGTTAATGTTCACAAATACTAAAGAGGTTTTTTGCGGTATGTTAAAGATAAGCAACTGATCAACTTTAGACATAAAGCTGTAAATGGTTTTGATTTTCAAAACTCTCCGCGGGCCGGACAGGAGCAGCTCATGGGCCGTATTTGGCCCTCGGGCCACACTTTGCCTAGGTCTGCTGTAGTGTGAAATTGGAACTTGGCAAAATTTATCAGATGTTGACCTTCAGGTGCATGTGATTGGCCTTGTCTTTTAACTCACTGCAAGTAACTTATGTGGCAAAAATGTAGTTATATGTATACTTAATTGGGAGCAACTCCTGTTAAAGAGAAGTGGTGGCACTGCGGGTTAAACCACAGAAGCCTCTGTGCTGCAAGGTCGGACGACCAGCAGTCGTAAGATCAAATCCACGTGACAGAGTGAGCTCCCATCGCTTCTCCCAGCTCTTGCCAACCTAGCTGTTCGAAAGCATGCAAATGTGAGTAGATAAATAGGTACCACCACGGAGGGAAGGTAACAGCGTTCCATGTCTAGTTGCGCTGGCCACGTGACCATGGAAGCTGTCTTCAGACAAATGCTGACTCTACAGCTTGGAAACGGGGATGAGCACCACACCTTAGAGTTGGACACGACTGGACAAATTGTCAAGGGGAACCTTTACCTTTACCCTGTTGAATGTGTTAGGATGTGCTTCAGAGTTGACCTATGTTATTATGTGTGATTTTTGTATATTTTCACCATGCATTTTTAAAATGTTTGATATTAGTGATCATAAATTTCATTTCTGGCGAAAAGAGAAAATAGTGCTAATAAGTAAATAAATATTAATTGATATCCATAGAAGATTGCTGTTTGTTTATATTGTGTTGATGCTGGGAAGATGCTGTTCCTTTCCTTCAGTGGTGGAGAGATGACAATGACTTTTAAAAAAGCTTTAGGAACCAACTTTGGTTTCCTTCATACCGTGCTTCTTTCCATATTCTTTCTCACTGCATCCTCTGTGGAAAAGACGATTTAATTATGGCATCAATCTTAAATGTCCCTGAAAATGCTTTGGGAGAATTGGTGATGTTTTGAGTAGCAGGAACACTCTGGTTTCAGCTCTGAAACTTGGTGTGGTATGTCAAAGTTATGACCAGTGGCTTGCTGATTTCATGGATTTTCTTTTTCCCCTTGGAAGGGAGGAAGAAGATGTATTCTTGCTGGTCTAACTTCGTCTTTCCCTTCTTGTGCTCTTAATGTTAGAAGCCTCTTTGTCCTGTAGCAAGATAAGAAATGCACAAAACATTCTTGTTGTTGAGGAGCCCTGTTTCAATATTCTGGGGCTGGTGTTTGTGGCAGGGGTTTTAATGGAGATGTAGTGCACTTTGCCTAAGTATTTCACTTCCATTATTGTTCAGCTGTCCCAGAGAAGAGGTTTCTTAGCCTTTTTTTGGTCATATGTAATATAAACCATAACAGCTGAGCATTCTAAAGTTATCCAAACTTCAGCTGATGTGATATGTTTCAATGACAGCCATTTTCTTCTTGAATACTGTCCCAAATTTTAAAACACAATATTTTAATAGTAGCTAATCTGAATTGTGTTGTTTATGACATGCCATTTAGATGTTTTCCAGGATTAAGCCATAATGAGACGAGCCAATCAAGCTGCCAAACAAAGATGTTCTTAGTCATTTCAAGTAGGAGTTATCTGTTCTCTTGATAGTAGAGGAGTGCTGTGAGTAATAATAAGCCAGCATATCATTGTACTTGCTTTGGTTTAAGTCTGTATTTGGTATACAAAACTTAGAGCTAATTTTTCCATATTAGATTAATTGGAAAAATGGCACATGCATTTAAAGCGATGCTGTCCAATATGCTTTTTAAACCTTGACAGAAGGCAAGTAAATCCTCCTTTTAAAAAGGAAAAAGGAGGCTCATTGTTACTCATCTTCCTAATAACAAATGAAATCTTGAAGCAAGGATGTGTGATAATCTTATTTTCCTGATGATGGATGGAGACTACTACATGGTTCATCCCTTGAATGTATATCTTCATAGTATTCTGGCGTCTAGAAAAGGTGGTTGTGTTTTTCTTGCATTATGTTACATTTTACACTATAAGAATTTAAAGAAAATTTTAAAGGGTTACATAGAAGGCCCAGTAGACTCATATGGCATCATTAGGAGTCACAGCAGGAGGCAAGGGCTTAAAATGGGTGATTTTCAAAGATATCTTGGTTTATAGAAAGTCTTTAATGACTGAAAACTGAAAATTAAATTTCTGATACTTTAGGTTCCGGATTAAATAGACAATTCTGCTGGTATTCTAGCTATCCTAAGCAAGACAGGTCTATGTGGCACCAACTGGGGAGTTTGGGTTGGCTGGCGGATAGTGCCTGGATAAACATTAGTGGCTGCCTTGTTCAGCAACCTACAACCTTAGCCATTAAAAATGCTGTGTTCCCCCCCCCCCCAAATCTTCTTTACTTCCTTGTTCATACAATTTGCCTTCATCAGGAGGAGCGGAGGCAGGTGATGCAGCAAAACAGGTAATGGGAGCTAAGAGGATGCCTCACATTATGACTGATCAGTTGTGCCAGCGAGAGGCCACCGCAGGGGGGGGAGGAAGGGAAGGAGGGCAGGAAGGAGACCCCCCCCCCAACCTCTGAGGGGAGAGAGGGCGCTGCGGGGGTGGCTGTTCTCACGCCCCCTGGGCTGCCGGTGGGCAGGGAAAGGGGTGGGGTAGGGGGGCGGTCGGGAGCGCGCCCGGGCGGGGGACAGGACGGAGTCTGCCCCTTCTGACAGGCATTGACCTTGGTGTGTGGCATAGTTCCCCCATAGAGGGGGCTGCCCTCTTCCAGGATGGCTTTAGT